GGGGGGGGGGGGGGGGGGACCATTTCTCGGTTTACGTATGTCATCCTTGCGCTGTGGCCATGCTTATCTTCTCTGTATCGTTCCAACGTTAACGGATGTCCTTATTTCCGGTCGCTATTCATTGTATACATGCCACCTTGCATCACTCTGCTAATACTTTCATTTTCCCCTTGAACACAGTGCCCCCTCATTCTGGCTGTAACCGCACCAGAAAGATAGCTTGTAGACATTCATTTCATTTCATTATCAGGGTGCACTTTGTTCCGGGGAAGACGGTAGGCGTGCTTGTGTTGCTGAGTGAGCTGTGGATGGTCGTAATTAAGTTCTTGTTTCGGCGACGTGTTCACGAATGATCATAATATATTGCCACTGATAGATCTGAATATCAGAGAAAAATGATGTGGTTGTTGGGTGTGGTGATGTTTTGCACCAGTTTTTCTTCTTAGAGAATCCTTTCTGAAATGGACGGATCGTTTCTGGTTGTCGCAGTCACTTGCGTTCATCTTTCTCTGTAACGACAGCAAGATCCCATGAAGCAAACATGTCTCCCACCGCCTTTTTCCAAAACGTTTTCCGCTGCACTCATCACCCACTTTTGTCTGTTGCCCTCCTGCCCTGTACTCCTTCTCTTGAGTGCTTCCGCTGCCCTTCTTGCTCTCTTCCCCCGTTCCTGCTCATCTCCTTTGCATGCCATGTACTCGATGCATTCCCCGTGATAAGTTACGACGCCTCGCGCATTTTGACTTGATGAGTTGATAAACTTGATATTGCATTTGTGGATCTCTCCGGCCGTGACGGTTCACCTCCTTGGGCAGTCTTATCCTCCCCACAGTCATCTCACCTGTGCTCCCATCGCTACGCGTTGCTCTCGTGTTTCTGGAGCCGGCCTTGGCGGAAGCATGTTCCTAGGTGCCGCAGAAGTGTGATCAATCCAATGTGTGTCACGTGACTAACGTCTTATGTTCTTACAGAAACCGCATATGTTTTCTTCCTCTGTTTTGGGCTTGTGTTATGCAGATCCCTGGCTTTTCTGAAAGAATACCCAGACTGGCGAAAAGTGTTTCCGATGTCGCAGCCACGAGTATGGTGGCGGACAACGAAGGGGGGATGGCAGAGGCATGTCTTGCCGCGGCAAGACCACCCAACTACACTCACCCCTAGGGCTCGTGTCCTCACGGCTATGACGGCCATGGATAGCTTAACAGGCTTCATTGGCAGAGAGGATAACGATGATGAGGAAATCCGACCGAAAGGAAAACAAGCACGCCTGCCTTGAGATTTGTGTTCCGCACACTGAGAGAGAGAAAACCAACCCCGATGCATCTGCGCTGATGGTAGCAACAGCTGTGGGGCAGTCGGTTGGCTTGTGCATCATATCCTTGAAGCTTGGGTGATGCCTTTGAAGAACGTTCTTCTCACTGCTTTGCTTTACGGACCCGATTTGTCCGTTTCGTGTGACAATTATGAAGCTTTTGAAAGGGAAGGTAAAAGGCCACAGCTCATAGACCATAGACTATGTTTGGGACCTTGGTGACTGCTTTTGCTTTACGGACACAATCCGTCCATTTCGTGTGACGATTGTGAGGCTTCCGGAAAAAGGTGCACTGTTGTGATTCCACAAGGAAAGGAACTTAAAAAAAAGCCACAGTTGATACACTATGTGTTTGGGACCTTGGTTCTTGCAACATCCTGCAGCAGCCTTGGCCAGTGCCCACCCACCCATGTGAAAATGGGTAGTGACACTGTCAATGGTTGAGGTAAGCCAAAATATGTTGCCTGGTATCCAATGTACACAGTGAATGAGTAGACTCCGTTGCAAGCAGTGTGAAGCAGTTTATTTGTTTTTTGTTTGCTGGGGCCGCCACAGGGGGCGGGACAAATCACTGCTAACGATGGATCGACAAGGGGTCGTCTCTTTCGGATTGGCTAAAGGAATGTAGAGCGCTTCCAATTCACCTATTCAACAGGCATCATCTCCTGAAGATTGTCCAAGTGGACAGAGCAGTGCGGAGTGGTGCAGTTAAGAAGGCCACAGGATAACGCAGGGTGTGCAAGTGCATCACAAGCTTTGGTGATCTTTTCATGTCATGCTGGCAACGTATTTATTTCGATGTCCCATTGCGCGATTGCCTTGGACGAGACCAAGAATGGCTTCTTTGCGTGCGCAAAGAAGAGTGTAACCAGGGGTGTGTGCACCGACACAGCGGATGATAGTGTTTGCAGGGAAACCTATCACAAACATGACGGTATAGGAGGCGACGGCCCCCACGATGAGGTTGACCTAGAATCCGCAGTGCATCTCCTGGACTGGCAGCTGCTGGTCTGTTTCCAGCCTTCTGAAGGATGTGTCTTGTTTGGCTTTCCTCCACCCTTATCTTCGTTCTCGGGAGCTCAATGTTCTCCTCTCCACCCTTGTCAGAGTTATGTATTCAGCAAAATGGGGATTTTGGAGCCGTAATGGTAAGATTGTGTCAGTCCGCGAGAAGCTGCACTCAGTATTGTAAGTACAATAGCTTGTGTAGTCTCCTCATAGCTTTGCTCACACACACTTCTACTTCCATTTGTGTTGCAGTTTTTTTTTTGTCTGGCATCTTTCTGGTGGTGCTACGGCATACCTTGGCAGTGAACAGGGAAGAGGGGAAGAGAAAGAAGAGGGACCGGCTTCACTTTCGCCTCAATTATGTTATTCGATATCCCTCTCAAGGACCCCCATTGCGTGTTCGCCGCGCAATTCGTCCGCCAGGCTAAAGGATGAAGCTCCACCCAATGCTACCGAGGCGGAGACCATCAAGCGTCAGGTCGGTACAAGGAAGCAGCCCCTCCTCTTCTCTACCGAGGCGGAGACCGTCAACTGTCAGGTTGGTAGAAGCAAGCAGCCCCTCCTCTCCTCTACAGAGGCGGAGACCGTCAAGCGTCAGGTCGGTTGAAGGAAGCAGCCCCTCCTCTTCTCTACCACGGCGGAGACTGTCGAGCGTCAGGTCAGCAGAAGGAAGCAGCCCTTCGTCTTCTCTACCGAGGCGGAGACATTCAAGCATCAGGTCGGTAGAAGGAAGCTGCCCCTCCGCTTCTCTACCGAGGCGGAGACCGTCAAGCATCAGGTCGGTAGAAGGAAGCAGCCCCTCCTTTCCTCTTCTAAGAACTGCTGGATACCGTGTGTCCAGAATCAGCTTGTAGCGACCTACCAGCCGTAGATAAGGACTGAGCCAAGGTTGATGCGGGTGAAGAAAGATAACCGGTAATGTATTTCAGCATCTAGAAGCGTGCGGGATGAAGTGTGTGGCGCGTAGATGGAAATGCATGTGCATGCTGGGACTCGCAATCCTTCGCGCAGGGCCAGTCTGTCACTTTGTTTTGCAATGTTGTTATTGTTGTCGTGTCGTTTTTCTCCTGTCGGCGTGCAAAATTGATTCTTGCTCATTGGTTGTCTGCATGAAATGTGCAGTGTCTCGTGCTCGTCCTTTGATGTTTGTGTGCCCATGCAAATTGTGTAATGTCATGGCACTGACCAGTGACTACTAGTATAGCACCTCCTTTTCAAGTCCTACTATGATGGCATTCAACCATCATCAAGGTCTTTTTTTTTTTTTTTTTTTTTTCGGATTTTGCTCCGGTTTATTGGTGGGGAGCAACACCATCAAGGTCTAATCTCTTTCCCTTGAAAAGAAGCACCGGTGTCCTCAATTTTGTAACTAACACCTGATGCCAGGGAGTCGTCGACAATGCTGGATGAAGTGAGCGGTGAAAGGAGAAAGCCTCGCTGCGCACCGAAGGTGGTGTGTATTGAAGTAAAGCCATTGTTCTGCCCATTGCCTCCACTAATCTCTGTCAATGTCTAATCTCTTGTCCTCAAAAGAGCGCCGGTCTCCGAAATCCTAATCTCTATCAGTGTCTAATCTCTTGTCCTCAAAAGAACGCCCGTGTCCTAAATAGTAAATACTAATCTCTGTCAGCGTCTAATCTCTTTTCCGTGAAAGAACACCGGTGTCCCCTAGATTTTGTAACATACGAGTATGCAACAGTACTTTTTTTTTTTTTTTTTTTTTTAACACGCCCCCGTCAGTGTTAGGTATGCAACAGTACTTGTTAATGATGTTGGATGAAGTGAGTGACAATAGAAGAAAGTTCGCCTCACTTCACTCCAACCGCAGTGCAGATTGAAGTATATAGTACAGCCATCTTTAGGTCATTTCTTCCAATCATCTCTACGACACGAACAACTCAATGACAAGAGCTTTGAGTGACATTTTCTGTCCCCTTAAGCCCATCGTTGTCCTGTTGCCCATCGTTGTCAGAGCGAATGCGCATGAACGATTGCTCACCGAGCGACCCTCTCAGTCCATGCATGAGAGGTCAGGCAATTGTCGTCCGGAGGCAACTTGTGGTCATGTGAACCACCTTTTGACTAACTGCAAGATGGAAGATGTCCAAGAGAAAGCACATTAATTTACCAGCATGATTGTGTCTTCCCACACAATAGTAGTTTGATGTTTTACAGATGTGAGTGCTCGTGCTACTGAGTTGAATCAGCACTTGCCTTCTCATTCTCTTCTCTGATATCGCACTTGCCTTCTCATTCTCTAATTTAGTAATTTCTCTTCGCTGATATCGCACTTGCCTTCTCAATGTTCTCATTCTCTTCTCTGATATTGCACTTGCTTTCTCATTCTCCAGTTTCTCTTCCCTGATATCGCACGTGCCTTCTCGTTCTCTTCTCTGATATCGCACTTGCCTTCTCATTCTCTGATTTCTCTTCTCTGAGATCACACTTGCCTTCTCATTCTCTAATTTCTCTTCTCTGAGATCGCACTTGCCTTCTCATTCTCTAATTTCCGTTCCCTGATATCGCACCTTCCTTCTCATTCTCTTCTCTGATATCACACTTGCCTTCTCATGGTCTAATTTCTCTTCCCTGATATCATTGTCTAATTTCTCTTCCCTGATATCGCACTTGCCTTCTCATTCTCTTCTCTGATATCGCACTTGCTTGGCTGCTTGTACAACTCTGCTGCTGGATTTGCTCTCTGCCTGGTAGTGAGTGTCCTCCATATCCGCTTGCTTCTGCTTTTCACAACGATATGGTTAACAGGTACCCTCACTTTTCACCCCTGGGGGGTCGGTTAACCTTCTCTCAGGATGGTGTAGCATGCTGGTTCAAGTGTATGAAGACGGAACTTGAGTGTGATTGTGTGAACTGAGGAGGCAATTGTTCGGGAGCTGGTAATCTGTTTTTGCTTTTCTTTCTGCTTCATCACCTGAGTACGTATTCACCAGATGTGTAAAAGAGGTGTGTGTGTGTGTGTGTGTGTGTGTGTGTCTTTGGTTGTGGCTCCTCTGCACCTGCCTCCTGAGACCACTTCCCCCCCCCACTTTTTTGCTACCCCGCTTGCACTCTCTAGGACATCTTTTCCTCTGCACCCGCTCTTTCATTTTCCTTTTGTTAGTGTGCGTGTTGTCAGTGCTAGTACTACGCCCCCTGCCGACAATTGCCAGAGCGGATAATTGGGGAATGAACACCATTTTCCCCCAAATAGAAGATGCACTGTCGTGCAGTCATTACAGCCTGTGTCTGGGGCAAATTTCAGTCTAGATACAGAGAGAATGACGGCAGTTCACAAAAAAAGGCCGCCGATTGCTAAGGTTGTCGAATTAAATGACATTTTTTGAATGTAGACGAGCTATCTTTTTCTGGTTTGGTACAGCCAACTCTTAAATGACATTTGCCAACCCTACAACTCGCACACCTCCCTTAGGCTAGGAGACTGTGGACCTTGGATATTCCATGGAGGGGTAGGTGTGCAAGTTGTAGAGTGAGCTCAACCTTGAAAGAAATCTTAAAAAAAAAAAAAAGTTGCCGAGTGAGCAATTGTCAGGGCAGACTTGTATAAACCCGTTCTTCGTGTTTGTGGTGCTCGGATCTGTCAAGGGATGACACGGGGGAAAGCTGTGGAAAGGCCCCAAGGCTTTTTTAAGTTTTTTTTTTTTTTTTAATGCAATCCCATGTGCTGAAAAGGAGGGATCCAGATGGTCAAGATGAGGAGCGGGAGGAGAGGAGAAGAAGAGGTGAAGAAGGAAGAGCGACAGCAAGGGGGGAGGTAAACGAAGAGGAGACAATAGGAGGACAGAGGAGGAGGAGGAGGAGGCGGCGGAGGAGGAGGAGGAGAGGAGGAGGAGGAGGAGGAGAAGCAGTACTAGGATGGGAAGAGACATGGCGGTGGAGTATGGAGTCGTGGGAAGCTAATGAGACCATGCAAGGTGACAAGTTGATAACACTGATAACTTGATAAGCCTTTTTTTAAGTTTTTCTTTTTTTTGCCAGTAAAATAAGTGTTCTATTAATTATTAATTTATTATATATATTTGTGACGATATATATATATATTTACTGTAATTTTTATTATTGGAATTTTTATTATTGGAATTTTTATTACTATAATATATTATTCTTGTTATAGGTGAAAACCAGGTTCAACGTCCCTCGCGTAGTGAAAAATCTACGGCAAGGTGGTAAATTCGAAGGATGTGATCTTAAGTTTCTTCGAATTATTTTGCCATATATTCCTGTTCAAAGTGTGCTAAGAAAAACGGGGGGAAAAAAAAAACCAAAAAAAAAAACATGTTGCTTTACAAAAATGCTGAAAGCCCGTTCTGGTGGGACGTGGACCACACAATGCCCTTCCTTTCTTTTTTTCTTTTTTTAACTCTAAATGAACGCACAGTGCCGGTCATTTCGTCAAATGACACTGTGACGAAATGCGTCATTCGCTGACACTCCGTGCCTCGATGACGCACCAGGCTGGTAGTCAACGCACAAGGGCCTCAAGATGCATAAGAATTTTCTTGTTACACTACTGCTGTGTACAATCCCTTTTTTTTTTCTTCTTTTTTTTCTTTTTCCGTTACGCTAGCGCTGTATCGAATCCTCACTCGTCAAACCTTCCGGTTCAATGATCGGCTCGCGGACGCTGTTGTCCTGGCCTGTTTCAAGGGGTTGTAGTGGTTACGATAGCTTGTTCTTGTGGCTGAGGGTGCCTGTTCGAGGCCGTGCGTGCACGGCGGGGCCCAATGCCTTAAACGCCCCCCGGTGATGAGTAACTACTAACTACCATACTTGCAAGCAGACGGACCGGACGAGCGTCCGGTCCGGTCCGCTTTGCCGCGTGCGGCACCCTCCGCCCGGACCAGACAGACCCGGACCGGACCGGAGGGGGGAGTTTTTTTTTGGGGGGGGGGGGGGGGGGG